CGAAAGGGATTAAGTATCGACTACGGAAAATGACTTGAAAGAACAGAAGTCTCACCACGCTCATCACTTCGGCGACCACGTCTACCGTAGCGATCACCAGGAAACAATGTCCGAGCTGATCCACGTGGAAATCGTTCAACACTTTCATTATCGAACTCTTCGTCTCTCCGTTACTCTGCTTCAACGTGAATATCGATCTGGAGATCACGTTAATGTGGTTGTACGGTAATTTATCCGAGATGGCCCTCATCACGGTGCTGATCGTGTCTCTGTCTGAAACGATGCGTAAAACTGGATGTAATCTACGGAAGATCGACGCACCGAACCAAATCGTTAATCTTATCACCGAACGTATCGTCGTGGAGGATGTTGATCGCAGTCCAAGAGAGAACGTCCATCATTCTTAGGTCGAGGAATATCTGAGACAGCTCCTCTCCTGGCTGTATTAACGGTATGCTCATACCGTATTTCTCTGGGATTCGGGGACAATCCAGGTCTTGGAATAGGAATATTCGTTGAGTCCGATTATTCGATTAGGGAAATGGTATTGAAAATTTTTTAAACCTGTTATGGCGAGGTGGACGAGCTCTTCCTTCCGCGCGATCCTGTGCAGCCGCCAAGTCGAATTGCAACTCGCGATAGAGAGGAGAATCGTGTAGTCTAATTATCGAGGGATAATCGAGATTAGTAGACGATTTGAAATGAGAACGGCGACTTTACCTTGATACAGATCGACGTTCGCGTAAGAAAAAACATGAACGGCTATGTCGCTTTCCGTTTGCCTGAATAAATTGCGTATTAGGTATACGGCGTCTCGGTGCTCCTCTCTGCTCCCGAAGAAACTTCTGTCGATGACCACGGCTGTTTAAAAGAATTCCTTTAAATCGCGGTTCCTGCGTCGGGAGAAAAACCGTACCCATCGATGTGTTGGCAAACACCGGAGGAAACTCGTCGAAACTATTCCCATAGACGACGCACCTGAGCAGCAACAGAACCGATATCATTTCTACCGACACACGAAACGAGAACGCGTTTATTCAACGATATATAACCAGGGACACCTGTGAATAATGTATCACTTCATTAGTTTTGCCGATCCGTTATTACAAACCGAGACGATCACGAACCGTGCGCGACTACACCGAGCCTAATGCAACTCGGCGTATCAGGGAATCGTGAGGAAAGGTCAGTTCTTTAATAACTAACCACCGAACGATCGAATCCCCGTGGAATTGGAACGGGACATTGCTTCGACCTGCATAGTTGCGTGCATCTAGTTGATTATTCAATTCAACCCTCTCGATAATGGATATCGAAATCTGAGAAACGACGCGACGACGCTCCCGAAATTAGCAGACGTGGGATTAATTCGTAATCGAATTACGCTTGCAATAATACAATATGCGAATATTATACTTTATTTTAATAATGTACTCTTTTAATTTTTGTCGCGTGTATTT